TATAGTATAGTATAACGAACGTACAAGAGGAACAAACATACAATAAATACATATATAATTATAATTAACTATGGTAAAAACTGGTTAACTCATTTTTGAAACGCAGTGCATTGTTGATTGACCTTATTCTGATAGGTAGTGAGTTCCAAAGGCGGTTTATAATGGACATATTCAATTCAAAGAAGCCCATATTAAAATGAAGCATTTTGCACTTCACTTATGGCGTTTTGCACTTCACGGATGCTTTTTCATAATCAGGATAAAAACAAAAAAAATAATAATAATATTTAATCTGCATGCTTCCTGCAATTGAATTTGAACTCTGGCCGTCTAGAAACCAACAAATCGTGGCAATTGTCTTTGCGCGCTCAGCTACAGCCAGACATGTAATGCTTGAAACGCAATGCTGGCGTTGTTTGACAACTCAAATCCATCTGATTGGCTTGATGCCATTTTGAAAGTGATATGTTAAGACAGGAAGTTGCCCACATGAGAAAACGGGACAAAGGTAAAAGAGAAATTTGACAGATGGTAAGACACATTTAGTAGAAGGAGACGTGGGGAAAACAGAATTAGAGCGGTAGGGAAAACCGCTGATACCATTTCGTCGCATTTATGATTTGGGTGACTATATTTAAAAAAAAATAGCAAAACCGTATTTGAGAGTGAAGAAATGATAAAAAATAAGACTATAAAACAAAGAGAAATTATTTAAATTATTTTATTTTAAGCCAGATTTAACCAATCGATAACTGCATTGTTAAACCAACAAAAATAGTGCGTTATATGTTACTTTCTTCTAAAACTTTGAAAGCAAAAAAGAAATATCGCCACCTAATGTGCATCCGCCATCGCACAGCGGGGCGATAGAAAAAAAAGCGCAGTTAGTCAACGACGTAGCGTAAACGTAGGTTGACGTACGTAGCAGCATATACAATTTACTGTTGATAGAGAGAGAGAAGCAACGGCAACGTCACCGCCATTCGGTGGTGAGTTTTCGTTAACACGCGAGTACCATAAGGTAGATCGTGTCTGCGTCAACCTACGTCTACGTTACGTCGTTGACTGTTTGCGCTTTAAATCTATCGCCACGAAACGCCGCCTAGCGAACTTCGCATTTCGCTTTGGCTGTGTTCAATTTCATATGCTTGCGGGTGTTCTAGTTTTGACAGTGCAAATTTCTTTGTGGTGAGTTCGCCGTTCGACGCCATTGTATTTCAGCCATAAATGTGTTTCGAATTTTGTGTTTGAATCAACACCACTGCACGTGACAGATAAACATGTACTATGTATGTATGTATTTGTTTAAACAATTGTCACCGCCAGTGACGGATACACGGGGGGAAGATAAGGCGATCGGCCTGGATCCCTAGTGTAATTTCGGTTAAAATATACTACTTCAAACGAGAAATTTGAACACAAATTTTTTTTTAAGTTTTTTTTTATTTTATTTTAATCTTCAATCATAACCCCTTTTTTAGGCTTGCACAATACATACATATTATTTATAGAACAAGAAATAATTTAAATCTCTTCGCCAACGTGAAAAATAAAACAATGGGTATGTAGATACTACAAATGAATGATAGTACTTATCATAACTTTACGACTTTCACATATTGACAAGATTTTACCATTTTTCTTAATATTTTGTTAATTTTAATTATTTGTTTATAAAAATTTAGCATTTATTTAACAAAATACACACAAATTCAAGTTTGAATCTTTCTGCAAAATTTGAAAAAAATAAACAAACTTTCGTAAAAATCTAGAAGTTTAAATTCGATTTTTTAGAAATATTCAGTTTTGCAGTCCATTCAATGTCACTATAATAAAGTGTAAGTTTAAAGTAACTGGGACTTACCGTTGCTTTTTGGCAATTTGTGTGGTGTCAGTCACGTTGCAGTTTTAAATTTATTTAATTACCCAGAAAAAAATCTAAATTACACACAAGCCCCACTGAAATTTTCAAATTCCCCACAAGCGAAATAAATAGTTTTACGTTTGGCTTCCTTCACAAAACTATACATTATCCTATAAAATATATAATATATTTTAGTTATTACAATTCTCTGCATCTTTTGTTTATTAGGTGTTAAATAAAATAATAAATACACATGATAAAACAAAAAATTGCTTGTTAGGGCATAAAAAGTCATTTCACGAAGCCACCGTGATTTTCATTAAAATTTAATCTGTAGTTCTATTTTCATTGCACTTATTAAGATGGAAAATCTAAGAAACCAGAATTGACTATTCATGGACCACTTCGAATGAAAAAAATACAAATTGCAACCCTCTGCTGATGTTATCTATTCAATATACCTTGGAACGGACCGGTGATTCAAAATAAAATAATTTCTGCAAACTGCACAAGGCGAATTCATACAAACACATCCTTTTAACATTAAGAACCACCGCGGCAAATTTGTCAGCTGTTCATGCAAGACCACCTTGTATTAAGGCGCCCTGCTATTGCTAAAGTAATTATTAAACAGTGCTTCTAATAATACTATACTTGTATTGTTGCCAGTTTTATTTAAATAGAAAAAAACAAACATTTAATACAGAAGACACTACAAGAATCAAAAATTAAAATTAATTTGAAAATGTTTATGAAACTCAAATTTTTCATAGATACATAGTTTTTAAAGCGAAAATTCCCCACAACATAGCATTCCCCAAACATTACCCACAAAAAATATAATTTCTCCCAATTTGGGGAATCACCCACAAAACGGCAACGCTGGTTAGTCATTTTCTTTCATGCGAAGCATTTTCGATAATTTTTCTTTATAAGGAGAAAATGAGCAACACCTTCAACGAAAAAAAAACCCAAAAACCGATGGNTCGCATTTCGCTTTGGCTGTGTTCAATTTCATATGCCTGCGGGTGTTCTAGTTTTGACAGTGCAAATTTCTTTGTGGTGAGTTCGCCGTTCGACNCAATTGTCACCGCCAGTGACGGATACACGGGGGGAAGATAAGGCGATCGGCCTGGATCCCTAGTGTAATTTCGGTTAAAATATACTACTTCAAACGAGAAATTTGAACACAAATTTTTTTTTAAGTTTTTTTTTATTTTATTTTAATCTTCAATCATAACCCCTTTTTTAGGCTTGCACAATACATACATATTATTTATAGAACAAGAAATAATTTAAATCTCTTCGCCAACGTGAAAAATAAAACAATGGGTATGTAGATACTACAAATGAATGATAGTACTTATCATAACTTTACGACTTTCACATATTGACAAGATTTTACCATTTTTCTTAATATTTTGTTAATTTTAATTATTTGTTTATAAAAATTTAGCATTTATTTAACAAAATACACACAAATTCAAGTTTGAATCTTTCTGCAAAATTTGAAAAAAATAAACAAACTTTCGTAAAAATCTAGAAGTTTAAATTCGATTTTTTAGAAATATTCAGTTTTGCAGTCCATTCAATGTCACTATAATAAAGTGTAAGTTTAAAGTAACTGGGACTTACCGTTGCTTTTTGGCAATTTGTGTGGTGTCAGTCACGTTGCAGTTTTAAATTTATTTAATTACCCAGAAAAAAATCTAAATTACACACAAGCCCCACTGAAATTTTCAAATTCCCCACAAGCGAAATAAATAGTTTTACGTTTGGCTTCCTTCACAAAACTATACATTATCCTATAAAATATATAATATATTTTAGTTATTACAATTCTCTGCATCTTTTGTTTATTAGGTGTTAAATAAAATAATAAATACACATGATAAAACAAAAAATTGCTTGTTAGGGCATAAAAAGTCATTTCACGAAGCCACCGTGATTTTCATTAAAATTTAATCTGTAGTTCTATTTTCATTGCACTTATTAAGATGGAAAATCTAAGAAACCAGAATTGACTATTCATGGACCACTTCGAATGAAAAAAATACAAATTGCAACCCTCTGCTGATGTTATCTATTCAATATACCTTGGAACGGACCGGTGATTCAAAATAAAATAATTTCTGCAAACTGCACAAGGCGAATTCATACAAACACATCCTTTTAACATTAAGAACCACCGCGGCAAATTTGTCAGCTGTTCATGCAAGACCACCTTGTATTAAGGCGCCCTGCTATTGCTAAAGTAATTATTAAACAGTGCTTCTAATAATACTATACTTGTATTGTTGCCAGTTTTATTTAAATAGAAAAAAACAAACATTTAATACAGAAGACACTACAAGAATCAAAAATTAAAATTAATTTGAAAATGTTTATGAAACTCAAATTTTTCATAGATACATAGTTTTTAAAGCGAAAATTCCCCACAACATAGCATTCCCCAAACATTACCCACAAAAAATATAATTTCTCCCAATTTGGGGAATCACCCACAAAACGGCAACGCTGGTTAGTCATTTTCTTTCATGCGAAGCATTTTCGATAATTTTTCTTTATAAGGAGAAAATGAGCAACACCTTCAACGAAAAAAAAACCCAAAAACCGATGGTAAACTGAGGGAAATAATGCATAGTAAAAATGAATACTTTATATTTGATTATCGTTTAAAAATGTTCGTATTTAAAAATAATAAAATAAATTGAGAAATATTATATCATTCTGGATGTACGTGTACATACGTACCAGGGATGCCAACTCATTTTATCTCTCTCCCCGTTGACCACCGCGAAATTCCCAGATTTTCGGTGAAATACCCCATGATTCCATAAAAAAGTCAAATTTTTTAATTCAATTGCTTGAATTTATTTACGAATGTACTTACAATATTTAAATTTAAATTAAAAAATACGCCATATAAGTCAAAATAAACAACTTTGGGCAAAACTGATAAAAATTCAACAAATCATAAAATTTTTTAACTTATTACTTATCATTTTTAGAAGTCAATTTAATTTTATTATTACTTAATTTATTTATATCTTTAATTTAAGCCTAAGTGGAAGATTTTATCACCTTTGGTTTTTTTGCTAGACCTTTTCAAATATTGCAAAAAACGCGATTTTTTGACAGTTTGACCTAGTTTTCTCAAAATCTGGACCTGAAGGAAACTTTATACTTACGGATTCGTAATCAGCACAAAAAGTCTTTCCAAAACAGCTTTAATATTTCTTTATTTCAAGTAAAGAATTAGTCAACGAAAACAAATTGTCTTACAGACTAATACAGAGATTTTAACAAAAAATAATAATCTTAACAAATACACAAACGGTAATGGAAAACCATTATGGATATAAGATTTTAGAGTTGTATCAAAACGGATAGTATATTCAATGCTAACAATGTTACATGGGAAACCAAATAACAAATTAGTTCTATTTCTTTTCCTTACTTATAAGTATAATTAAGAAGTGTAATGAAAGTGTCCACTCCACATCACCTGGGTTCAAGCCCTGGTCAAAGCAACATCGCAAAAAAAATAAAGGATTTTTCTTAACAACGGTCGTCCCTCGGCAGGCAATGGCAAACCTCCGAGTGTATTTCTGCTTCTCATAAAAATACAAAAAAAAACTGTAGATCCCTCCGCTTTGTGTGCCAACATCAAGGCGCACGCCACAAATCAGAGGAGAAGCTCTGCGAAACACTAACATATGTGTAAGCGCCAATCTATTATTATTATTACAATGAAAGTGTGCTCAAAAGATTTATATACAGTATTGTGTTCTATCAACAGCCACAACAAAATCACTGTTGCCTTGTGTAATTGCATTATTTGATATGTATATATAAATGAATGTAAGTAATATTGGCAGAGTTGAAATTGTGACTAAAAATAAAATTTTACAAAAAGTACTCTACACTCTAGGTAGATAAGTTATTTAATGATCTAAAATTAAATAGTCTAAATTCCCCGCAAAATGCAGAAATTACCCGATTCACCGCAACGAGACCAGTTCCCCGCAAGTTGGCATCACTGATACGCACCCCAAGCATGCAGAGCGCTGCTCTGAGAGCGGTGACAACACACACATACATTCATAGTACATACATATTTATCCGTACAAATCGCGTGCTGTGGTGTTGATGCATGAACCAAACCCTGTAGGGTNTCAAAATCTGGACCTGAAGGAAACTTTATACTTACGGATTCGTAATCAGCACAAAAAGTCTTTCCAAAACAGCTTTAATATTTCTTTATTTCAAGTAAAGAATTAGTCAACGAAAACAAATTGTCTTACAGACTAATACAGAGATTTTAACAAAAAATAATAATCTTAACAAATACACAAACGGTAATGGAAAACCATTATGGATATAAGATTTTAGAGTTGTATCAAAACGGATAGTATATTCAATGCTAACAATGTTACATGGGAAACCAAATAACAAATTAGTTCTATTTCTTTTCCTTACTTATAAGTATAATTAAGAAGTGTAATGAAAGTGTCCACTCCACATCACCTGGGTTCAAGCCCTGGTCAAAGCAACATCGCAAAAAAAATAAAGGATTTTTCTTAACAACGGTCGTCCCTCGGCAGGCAATGGCAAACCTCCGAGTGTATTTCTGCTTCTCATAAAAATACAAAAAAAAACTGTAGATCCCTCCGCTTTGTGTGCCAACATCAAGGCGCACGCCACAAATCAGAGGAGAAGCTCTGCGAAACACTAACATATGTGTAAGCGCCAATCTATTATTATTATTACAATGAAAGTGTGCTCAAAAGATTTATATACAGTATTGTGTTCTATCAACAGCCACAACAAAATCACTGTTGCCTTGTGTAATTGCATTATTTGATATGTATATATAAATGAATGTAAGTAATATTGGCAGAGTTGAAATTGTGACTAAAAATAAAATTTTACAAAAAGTACTCTACACTCTAGGTAGATAAGTTATTTAATGATCTAAAATTAAATAGTCTAAATTCCCCGCAAAATGCAGAAATTACCCGATTCACCGCAACGAGACCAGTTCCCCGCAAGTTGGCATCACTGATACGCACCCCAAGCATGCAGAGCGCTGCTCTGAGAGCGGTGACAACACACACATACATTCATAGTACATACATATTTATCCGTACAAATCGCGTGCTGTGGTGTTGATGCATGAACCAAACCCTGTAGGGTAACCCCGAACTGGTGAACCAAATTTGTAGTTCCGTACTAGATCTTTATCGCCAAAAACGAACCAGTCCGATAGTAGCCACCAGTTCAAAAGCAGCGATATGTGGTACTTTCAAAAAACAATTTTAGAAATCTATATCTAAAACNTCACCTGGGTTCAAGCCCTGGTCAAAGCAACATCGCAAAAAAAATAAAGGATTTTTCTTAACAACGGTCGTCCCTCGGCAGGCAATGGCAAACCTCCGAGTGTATTTCTGCTTCTCATAAAAATACAAAAAAAAACTGTAGATCCCTCCGCTTTGTGTGCCAACATCAAGGCGCACGCCACAAATCAGAGGAGAAGCTCTGCGAAACACTAACATATGTGTAAGCGCCAATCTATTATTATTATTACAATGAAAGTGTGCTCAAAAGATTTATATACAGTATTGTGTTCTATCAACAGCCACAACAAAATCACTGTTGCCTTGTGTAATTGCATTATTTGATATGTATATATAAATGAATGTAAGTAATATTGGCAGAGTTGAAATTGTGACTAAAAATAAAATTTTACAAAAAGTACTCTACACTCTAGGTAGATAAGTTATTTAATGATCTAAAATTAAATAGTCTAAATTCCCCGCAAAATGCAGAAATTACCCGATTCACCGCAACGAGACCAGTTCCCCGCAAGTTGGCATCACTGATACGCACCCCAAGCATGCAGAGCGCTGCTCTGAGAGCGGTGACAACACACACATACATTCATAGTACATACATATTTATCCGTACAAATCGCGTGCTGTGGTGTTGATGCATGAACCAAACCCTGTAGGGTAACCCCGAACTGGTGAACCAAATTTGTAGTTCCGTACTAGATCTTTATCGCCAAAAACGAACCAGTCCGATAGTAGCCACCAGTTCAAAAGCAGCGATATGTGGTACTTTCAAAAAACAATTTTAGAAATCTATATCTAAAACGATGAATTTAGAACTGGTTCAAAACTATAGAAAAAGGGATGCAGAACGAACTAGATCTCATCTGGCGAATTTTGAACTATTTCGAAACTATTGAAAAAGGGATGCAGCGGGGGGCTTCTTTACTTTAAATTGATTTTTGCTTGGCGGGTTTTTCGTTCAAATACCTTTTCAGTCTGTACTTCGCAGATGCTTTTTAATAGTTTGGCAATACAAAACTAATATTTGTTTAGCATCTTAACATTTTGGGACCTTCTGGAATATAACCAATAACAGTCAGCAGCTCTGCAAATTCAGCTACAGCCAAAGGTATGTAAACGTGTTTTCAAATGTACAATTTAATTTACATTCATTCAAACAAATTTGATTTCAGATTGAATATACATTTCTCTGCAAATAATTGAAATTTTCTACCATGGTAACCCAAAAAGAAAACATGTTGTTACTTTTTTCGTTTACAACTGGTTCGAAACTATAGAAAATGGGGTGCAAAGCGAACTAGATCCCATATGTCGAATATAGGACTGGTTCTGAACTATAGAAAAGGTAATGCAGCGGAGGACACTTTCCAGATCCTATGACATCGCTGTGTTAAATTCGCATGTTTGCATGCAAAAGAGATTTATCGCGAACAAATCTAAATATTTATTTACTACATACTTATGTATAAATAAAATACATGAAGGCATTTTTTGTTAACGGCTTAAGATCTGCACCGATTATTCGATTTTCAAAACTGAGGTTCCAAATTAAAGGGTTTGGCCTCTAACTGCACAGCAAGGTATGACTTTTTTGGAAAGGGTTGCTCCCTTTTTTAAAATTATAAAACCTGCACCGTTCGTTGTATTCGGAAAAAAATTAGGTGTCAAATGAGAGCCTGGGCCTCTAGATATGCAAGAAGATTTAATTTTTTTCAATTGGGTTACCACCTGTTTAAAAAGTCATTACCCTTACATAGTTCGTGCATTTAAAAAAAAATTATATAATATGCCATATAAACGGGCTTGGTCTATAGATCTGCAAGGAAGAACTTCTTATTTTTTTAAAAAGGGTTGCCACCTGTTACACTATTTTTCCTGCAGAGCATCAGATTTACACCGTCTCTCAAGTTACAAAATGAGGTGTCAAATGAAAGGGATTTACTTATAGACGTTCTTTGGTTTTTTAAAGGGTCGTCGCCTAATTAAAAATGCATTGTTTAAAATATGATAGTAAAATGTCACAATATGGGTTTGAGATTCAATTAATATGTTGGTGTTTTTAATAGTGTTCCTACTTATTAAACACACTTACGGTAAGTGATGTATTAAGGGCTTTCGATATCGCTATCAATCGAAAGGTAGTTAAGAGTTGTTAACTAGATGACAACTCTCGAAAATTTGAATATTTTTACACAAAAGCCATTAAACTAGCTGTCGTTTGATACCAATATCGAACGTCGTTAATAAGTTACTTACCTTTCATACCTATATATTTTTCAACTCTTAAAAGCACGAACATATTATTTTAGTATAAAGACCCTTTCGCTTGATGTCCATATTGCGACATTTTACTGAGTATCATATTTAAGCAATAGATTTATAATTAGGTGGCAAACCTTAAAAACAAATAAAACCCAAAGCACATCTCTAGGTAAATACCTTTCATTTGGCACCTCATTTTAAAATTGAGAGAACGGTGTAAATCTGGTGCTCTGCACAGAAAAATAATAATTTTTAACAGCTGGCAACCTTTTAAAAAAATAAGACGTTCTTCCTTGTAGATCTATAGACCAAGCCCGTTTATTTGACATATTATATCCTTTTTTTAAGTGGGGTGGCAACCCTATTTAAAAAGTTAAACTTTCTTGCACTTCTAGAGGCCCTGCCCTTTCATTTTACAAATAATTTTTTTTAATATAACGAGCGGTGCAGGTTTTATAATTTTAAAAAATGTCATACCTTGTTGCATATTTAGAGGCCAAGTCCTTTAATTTGGAACCTCAGTTTTGCAAATCGAATAATCGGTGCAGATCTGATGCCTTTAACAAAAAATGCCTTCATGTATTGTATTTATACATAAGTATGTAGTAAATTATTATAATCAAAATTCGAGCCCCCACCCCCTAACTTTAGTTTTCCCTATATATAAAACATAGTACCCTGAAGTGCTAGCTTAATACTGTCGAGTCCACCTAACCTCAAGGTAGATGCCTTTAATTTAACGTTATTTGACAAGTTGATCCCAATCGCAAAATGCTTCATTTTATTATGGGCGTATTTGAATTGAATACTTCCATTATACATATGGGTGAAAATTTCTCAACTGGACCTCGGATTTCAGTCAAGTTCGAAGTTTTGCGTGAAAATTTGTGGGTAGAGAGGTTTATAGATGTGAAAGGGATTCTGGGAATTTGTTTGAAAAAATTTAATTTTTAAAGTNTTTGGATCAACTATCTGTGTCCGTGACTGGTACTTCGACACTCATATTTTGTGCATCAAATATTCCTTCAAGTAGCTCCGACGCTTTGTACAAATCGCATATTGATAATATTGTAGATTTAGTATCTAAGCGGTCTAGTTGCAATTTTTGTATTCTTGGTGACTTTAATCTTTGTAATGTTGGCTGGACGACTATGGACGATAGTTTGGCTTTATTTCCCAATAACGTTGGCAGTTTCTCCGAAACATATGTTGTTGACAATCTACTAAGCTTAAATCTCAGTCAGATAAATAACCTCAAAAATAAGCTTGCCAGAATTCTTGACCTAGTATTTATTTAAGTGAAAATTTGAACTTTTCCTTAGATGAATGCCTCGGTCCTCTGTCGTGTTCGGGTTTACACCATGTTCCTCTGGTCCTCCAACTGGAGTTTTACGAATTCAAAAATCTTAAATCAGATACCTATTCTTCGAATTATAGTTTTAGGAGCTGTAGCTTTGATGCAGTTAGTAATGAAATTTGTAGGGTAGACTGGGACTGGGTTTTTGTAGGGGCCGACGTTGCAGATTGTTTCATTTCTTTCAGAAATAAAATTAATGAAATCTGCAGGAGTTATATCCCGCTAAAGAAAAAGAACTGCCATAAGATTCCATGGTTTACTAAGGAATTGAAGAAAATTAAGAACTTAAGGAACCGATTTTTTAGAAAATATAAGTGTTCTAATTTGCCGCAACACAAAGAAAATTATATGTGCT